TGAAATCATCTGTTGACTCAGGAATTTTCAAACGAAATAAATCAAATAAAATCTCTAGTATTCCATGCTGAAATCAGCAAATAACCATTAATTACATAAAATTAATTCTTCAAATAAATGCAATACAGGAAAAAAATCCTCAATAAGCCTCATTTGTGCAATTCAAAACATTTAAACTACAACATTAACTTAGGTACCCTAATTTCTTTGTATGGTAGGTAGAGAATGCCAACAAGCGACTGTAAACCACTGCCATCTGGTCGACAGAAACGAATTATTCCTGCCAAATAATTAAAACAGAATTCAATTGGTTGTAGAGTTCTTGCAATGCATAATTTGTAAGAATATAAATAACCCAAAGAACATGAACATACAATGGTGAATTTTCCCTCAAAAACAAATTCTGTGTTCTCTAAATTAAAAACTTTGTTTTATTAAACATTTATAAATTAATCGAATACTTCCTTTTATATAGTTTATTTGCCTTATAGAATTATGTAATTAATGTATATATGAAATTGATTAAAAAGATCAAAACTCCCTATATAGCAATACATCATATTAATTAAATACATACCTGACCAAGTCCGCATGATAGAGACGACGGCCATTTTACTGGCTGCAAATCGATTCTCTTTCTCCTCACTACAAAACATAAACAGTAAATATGTAAAAAACATTAATATTGTGGGTATAGATTAGGGAGAGCTCCTACTGTATACATCTGAGTGTAAGTTGATGCAGTTGAATAGCTCTCTTCAGTATGTATCAGCATATAAGGTTTAATAAAAATATCTTGAATAGTTTTTTTTAAAACTGAGCTAATCATTAATTTAAGAAAAGAGAAAGGTTAAGGTCAAAAAAATTTTCATGCCATTGAATAGCTCTCATCAATATGTATGAAGTTTGAAAAAAATATCTTGAATAGTTTATCTGAAATTGAGCTACATGCAAAGGTGACAGAAGGACAGAAGGATGGAAGATAGACATGACAAACACTATTTGCCCCTGCCATATTCATTGCTGGGCATAAAAATTGTAAGAAAATTCACTCACCCTGAGGACTGTTCTGACGACTCAGCACTGAATCTGTAATGGCAGTCTGTGAAGGGGGCTAACAGTTGCTAAAAATATATTTAAAAAATATCAACACAAAAGTACCAACCATCTATCTTGTAATCACATGACTATAAGATTATACATGTACAAACATTACATCCTGGCAGATAAAGCACACAATATACATGTACAACCTTACCTCCAGGTCTGTATTGAATTTGATGAAATGCCTGGTTCTGGGATGGTTCAGTAGATGGAGAATGGTGGACACCAGTGATTCGTTTATTCTGGGATACTGATGGCAGTCCAGAGCTGCTCTTAAAATAGCACCAATTCCTCCACATCTTGCCAATAACTCCGGATTCACAAATGCTACAATAAAGGTACACTTGTTCTGCATAAAAAAATAAATTATATACATGTTTTATAAAACTTTAATACTTATAATGTATGGTACACATAAGAGTTAAGTACACAATCTGCATTATAGGCACATGTAGGTGATTATTATGTAATTATGTTCCAAGTTTCTTTGTTTTACTTTCCACGGGAAATAAATTTTGTCCAGGGGAAATAAATACTTTCCAGGGGGAAATAAATACTTGTAATATCTTGCTATAATCAAATTTCTTTCTTTCTTATAGCATACTTATCTGTTTTACATATTGAAATACCAGCTCTTTGCCACATCTACATGTATAAATATCTTCTATGTATAAATGTCTTCTCTGTGCCATACTTACCTGTTTCACTATGCCGAACTTACTTGTTTCACATATCATTTCTATAAATACTTTCTCTGTGCCAAACTAACCTGTTTCACATATAGTTTCTAGAGCTATCCTGACCATTCTGTCTCTCTCAGCTGTTCCATCATTACTTATGGCAACCAATGGATAAAACAAGAGATCAGACAATTTCTTGGGTGCAATCTGCAGAATTTTTCTGACTAGTTTAATCCCATGTATTCTTTCTACTTCATTGTCTAAACATAAATCTATTGACCTGCAATGCAAGTGGAATTCTTTTAATACAATTTAATTGTGTGGTATCTTTTCTCAACAGTAAGAAAATTTAAATTTCTTATAATTATGACAACTACATGTCGTCGAATAGCTGTGCTATAGAAAAAGAAGTAAAAGTGATAAATCCAGTATAAGTTTCTGATAATTAGAAATTGATAATGTCGGGTATGAGAATATCATAAAACAATCTTAATAAAAGGAAGTGGATTACAAACCTGACAATTAAGTAATCTATGTGGAGAGTGTAAAATAAATCGACGGTCTCTTGGTCCCGGAGAAAGTACCGCAGCACTCGTAACACTGCTGCCCGCACTTCTTTTGCCTCATGGAATAAACCTACCCTTAAACTGTAAAATATCACATTCTTCAGAAAAAATACAATATGACCTGACTATAGCCATTCAGTAACATAGGAATTGACAGGCTGAATGAAAATTGATATAAATATTTGCAAAATTTCTCACACAAGTTTCAGTTTTCAAGTGCTTAAAATTGTTGAGCTCCCTGATGAACTGTCTAAATGAGGTCATTTAAATCTGAACTTCGTTTCTTGATTTTGGATCTCCTTATGACAATATAAACACAATTTTTTATTTACTTCTTTCTGAATAAGAACTCAACTATTACTCACCAACACAAAATATCTCTCTTTGTGAAGCCTGAGTATTTGTCATTTCCATATTTGAGTAAAAGTTTGACTAAAGCATTCAGGTATGCTAGCTTCTTAGATTTTGGTACACTACTTTGGGAAACTATGACAGCTAAAATCTCTTTCAAATTTTCATTTGGGTCTGAAAAAGATGTAAAATATTATGAATATGGTGCCAAAACAGTAATTGCTAATAAAAAATGTAAGTATCAACCCAAAATCTTAATATCAACTGCTGTGAATTTTGATCATAGTACTTGCATATAACTAATGGATATAAGCAAAAAACTGTCCATTATGTCGGATATTAGATGGTCCAAGGTGCGTTAGCACTGAGTAGAGTCTAACATCTCAAACAATGGTCAGTTTGAGACTTATAAATTACTTCAAAATTTCACCAATGTCGACTACTCCCCTAGTTAACTAAATGGTTCAACTGCTACAGGTAAACTTGTCTCATTCTGCTTGGATGACTTTACTTGGCACTGTTCATTAAGTTAGCCCAAAGAAAACTAGTTTTCAAATTTATCTCTTAAGTTTTTCAATATTAGGAATCATTATGTCACCTGTTGTATATCGATAAATAAAACTATTAACTTTTTTTAGTCTTATTTTATATCTGCATTGCGACACTTTTAAATATACTATGCAAGTTCAAAGTTAGTTCTGTTAAATTTTTGATGATTCATTCATGTTTTAAAACAACTACTTTTTCATATTCAGATATTCTTGACAATATTGTTAATGGAGAACATTTAAATGCAAACTTAAGGTTGAAGTTTTCTACTGTGAAATTTGGAGAAACTCTTATATTTCGGAGTTTGCAAGAAACAGTTTCTCAATCATGCAATACAATAGGACTTAAAGGATTTTACCACCCTGTGACACATTCTTTAAGTTTCATTTTTTCCTAGAGATTATTTCTGATACATTTAAAATTTGCAATAGTTTCTCAAAATAATGCATATATTAACCTTTTGACCCCCTGTCTGTGTTATGGTGTTTTGAATGAATAATCAAAATACATGTGAAATGTAAATATTCTCTGTTGTGAAACACAAAATAATCCAGTTTGGTGTTTTTTTTTTAATGTGGTGACAAATTATGTAAATATTGTTCATGAATATTTTGTTGCTTTAAAGTATTTAAAGAATAAATAACCCATCCTAAATTCCATGATTAATCAAGTTTAATCATGTTAAGGTCAGACGACACGTTCCTCAAAAATATATAACTTTTCCCAATATTTTATGATTGAAAGATTGATACTTCAAGAAGTTCCTTCACAAAAAATTGGGGTGCATTACCAGACACATGTGCAAGATTCTGGAGGATGGTATTTCCTATATAATCCTATACTAGAGATCACTTGAACTGCTTATACCATTGTTTTTGGTGTTTATATTTTTCAGACATTTTGAAAATAGGTTAGAAATCAAAATATAATGATAATTATAAATATTTTTGGTATATTACAAAGGAATGCAAAAAAGATATTTAAGGAACATGTCGTCTGACCTTAATATGCGGTTTTCCCCATTCCTACTCTTCCATATTTTATTCGACAGAGCCTTGGGTCAATTGAAGAAGGTTTCTTAGTATAACAGTGAAGCAGTGGAATTCCAGCAGATTACAAAGACTTAAAACTGCTTCCTTATTGCTCCCACTTTAATTCAATTCTCCCAAAATAAAACAAAAAGCAAACCTCTACATTTCGAATTTACTAAGTTAAGGTTTAATTATGGTCACTCAGAGGATCTGAAACCATTTGTAAGTTTTTTTTTAAATTGATAAGCACTCCTTTTTTTCACTGCACAACTAATTGGGAATAGTAAAAAGAAAATATTGCATATCTTAAAAAGGAGTACACACCTCTCGAAAAATCAAGCTTCAAAATTTCGTCTGCACTTTCATGTCGAGCTGAAATGAAGAAAATATGCAATTATTCTGAAAATCTAGAGATTTACTGCTGTGACTTAATACTGATTTATGAAATTGTTCCAGTTTTTACCTCTGAATCGGCCACTTTTAACGAAAGGTCGACCGCCGTGGCGACCACTGGCCGCCATCTTTTTTCTATTACTTCCTACTTTATGTTATGTCGTAGTCAATTAATTCTTTTTATTTATATATCAGACTGTCTTGGTAAAGTGCAAACTTGAAATGAATAAAGGTTAAATGGCATATTTCAATTTTACTTTTAATGATAAAAAAAGATGAAGGAAAATTGTATCGTCAGATTACGACAACTGCCAAAATCCGAAAAGAAAAACATGGACCAGATGGAGGTGGTTCAGCCAAAGTTTACAAAACTTTTAGATGGCATGATGGGAGCCGAAGGTCCTGTATTTGACAAGGACGCTAATTTCTACATGGTTGCACCTGAGGTAGAGAAAAATGGACCTTTTGCTGGCCAAGTTCTTCGCATTGATCTGAAGAATAGCAAGGTAAGAGAGGGGGGTAGGGGTATCTTTCACCTGATCATGTGATATATACAGTGTGCGAAAATAACAAGGATGAAATAGCCTGTTGGGCTATCTCATTTTGGATTGGTATATATAAACCGTGGATAACTGGGACTGTCCATAAGAACCAAGCACGAAAAAATGTGCAATGATTTTTATTCATATTTTTAATTTTTTTTTTATTCATGTATCTATTTTTATTGAATTATCTGTTACTAGTATATTTTCATTTTATCTTGTGAAAATGAAATATAAAATCAGAGTTTGTGCCTTTCACAAAAACTGTACCACATGTTCACACGTCATATTTGAGCTTTACCGGCCAGCTAGTCCGAAATATCTGACGTTTTCCAGGTGTTTTTCATGATTTTGATATTTTATGTGCCAGGAAAATGTTACAACTTCACAACTTCTTCTTCCATTAATGTGCCTGGCACCAATGTTTGGCATTATCCCACATGTATAAAAAGTTAAAATTATGCTGAGGAAGGCCTTATTAAAATCTGAAAAAAATCATCAATATTTCTTAAATGAGTAGGAACTGATTCGGGACTTGAAGGCCATGGATACTGGTAGAGAATTCCAGATCACTACTACAGCTGGGAAAAAGGAATCCTGGTAGCATTTGAGGTGGCAGAATGGTTGTTAAAACCTCAAAGCATGTCCTCTGGTGTAGTTACTTGTTAGTTGTAAATGACTGGATGGAATGTCTATGAGGTCATTCACAATTCTGAACATCATGGTGGCTCGTGCTGTTAACCGTCTGGACTGCAGGGTATCAAGATGGAGTTGTTGGATAGATATAATACTGCTCTCCCTGCTGTAATCGCCCATGATGTATCGTGCAGCCCTTCGTTGTACCGCTTCTATCTTATTAATATGGGTCTTGTTGGTGTGATCCCATACGTTGGAGGTGTATTCAACCTGGGGTCTCCCTAGGGTCTTATAACTAGTTGCTTTGATGGACCGTGGGCAGCCAGAAAGGTTACGGCTCAAGAAAGCAACTGGCTTTTAATATTATGAAAACTGGAAATTTTGTTGCCCCCAACTGAACTTGATTTTTGATACTTGCAAATTCAATTAAATGTCAACTCAATAACTTATAAATGTTTACTTAATTTGTGTCTAACTGTGCTTCCAGTGATAAGAAATTGCAGCATGGTGGATGTACACAAACAAATAGAGTTGGGTTAAAAAGGACATTGTTCATTTATGGAAAAATTAATGCACAATGTTATAAATTAATCATGTTAATAAGTTATGGGAATTAACAGTAATTCTGTTAAAATAAGGATTTCAAATTCAAGTATAAAATTATTCTGCACAATTCCTTTTTTCCATTATTACATGTTATAAATATAAAATGCTCCTTCTCATTGAATCTTAATATTTTAACCATGGCCAAAACTATGATAGACAATGCAGCCTGTTTTAATTTGGATCGGGATAGCCCGATTCAACTTGAGGTAGAATCAGACCCTATCAGACAGGCGTTAATTGCACACTGTATATATCAGGTCTAGCACAATCTCCTGATTTAGCTATATTGTGTGAACTAGCTTTTCAAGTATAATTAATTATTATTAAGCTTTTCAAGAAAAGCTATTTCAATGCAGTCTTTACAGTTTTTCACAAATGTGCTTTTTACTAGGAATAGACAAAATTCACTACTCATATTTGAACTATGGACTGTTAAAAAAACCAGTTCAAATCAAAGATGAATTGAACATTGCAGCTTTTGAATACTTTTAAGCAAGAGATGTATTTCCATTGTTTTGGTAACTATATAGTTACACCTTGTGAGTGATGGGCGTTGCTTTACATTGTGCTAAATTATTACTAATCGATTATCTTGTTGACCAGAATTGACCTGCTATATAATTTCATTCAAGAAGTAATTGTGTAGACACAAATCAATTGTTTTATCATGTTCATATCACCATAGTTGCCAACTCACCCGATAACACCAATTTTTCAACCCTTAACCTGATTTTTTTAATGACATGGAAGGTCATGTTTTTCACCTGATTTTTGCCAAAACACCTGAAAATCTCCAAATACCAGATTTAGTTTGCAAATTGGTTTGCATGTGTGATTTTCAGTTATCAACCCAAGCTTGTATCTACATAAGCAGTGCAGGTGGCCTTTTTCAGTATGTAAAGGTCAATTATTAGTGCAAATAATAACAAAATCTGTGAGTTGTTTTGACAAAGCGAAGTTTGAAATCATTGTAAATGTCTTCAGATATGAAATCATTATCAGGGCCCACAGGAAGACCACCAATGAAAAGAAAATGATATTTATGTACATATCAAGAAACCTTGGAAAACAAATTTCATTTGAAAATATAAAGTGATCAAAGATTGTATAAGGCTAATTGTACACTACATGAAAATTTCACTTGTTTATTTGAAGAATTTGTTTATCTGGAGAAGAAAGTTTTCTTCAAAACCAACATAATTTGATTAGCTCAAAATTCTTTTCCTTCTTCCAAACAGCCATGCAGATTCTGGAAATTGGCTTTCAACATTTTAAAAATTTGCCGGTACCCGGTATTTTCACCTGGCTGAAATCATGATTGTACCAGCCAAAATATTTGTTGTAGAAAATTTTGATAAGTAAACATTTAATTAAAATCGCTTCCACAATGTACCTCCTATTTTTGTAAAAGTTCCTCCTGTTTCTTATCTTTTTGAAAGCTCTGTCATGGTAAATATTTGGGGAATGTCATTATGTGTTATGACCAGATTTTTTTCTTTCCAAAGAGGGTCATGACCCTCTTTTTACATGTTGGAGGTTGGCAAGTGTGTATAGCCTAAAAAACATTTAGAACTTTTGAGTGCAAAGTCTATAAAAGAAACAAATTTGGATGAGCATGTTTTCAGACCAATACAAAGTTGAAAATTATCACTGCAACAAAGTGCAACTTTTTTTTACATACTGAAAAATATGTACATTAAAGGAAAAAAAGGTATGATAAAATAGCAAAATCTAGCTAGTTTGAATAGCTAATTCAGTTAAGCTACATATTGTGCCGGACCTGTATATAGCAACAAAGCTGCAGAACTGTAGCTCTCCGCAAAAAAAAATATTGACAGACTGGAGAGTTACAGTGCCACCCATAGAGAAAACTGTATATTTATTGCGCACAACAAATTGCACTCAATTCTGGATTTATTTCTCCAAATTCTTACCTCATCTGCACAAAAGATCGATTTCATGAAATTCCTTAGATCTCTATCAACTACAGATATAGTTGACATCTGCAGGAAGCGCAAGGGACCGAATTGTCTTGCCACCCAAAATGGCAGTATAAATAAGCAAAATATTTTTGTTGGTCTCCATTTCAGGCCCAGTAGGGCTATTACCAATGGTTATGGTGGGATATTTTGTTGTCGAAATAGTTTAAGAATATGTTAGGAACGCACGGTTAGTAATATTTTGAGATGCCAGTTTAAATATACGGAGAAATAAATCTAGAATCAAGCGCAATTTTTTGTGCACAATAAATATACTGTTTTCCCTATGGGTGGCACTGTAGCTCTCCGGTCTGTCAATATTTTTTTTTTTCAGAGAGCTACAGTTCTGCAGCTATTTTGTTGCTACATACAGCTCCGGCACAATATGTAACTTAACTGAATTAGCTATTCAAACTAGCTAGATTTTGCTATTTTATCATACCTTTTTTTCCTTTAATGTACATATTTTTCAGTATGTAAAAAAAAATTTTTTGGAGAGCTACACTTCTGCAGCTAGCAACAAATTAACAAATGAATTGTTTTAGATGTGTCTACCAGTAAAAAATGAGATGTAGTTAAAAATATATTCCTTATTAACATAAGTTAACAGTCTACAAGATAATAATAGATGGTAAGCAAAGGGAGGGCAAATGATGAACAAATTAAACTATTATGAGCAGAGTGAACAATGAGCAAAGGATGAGTTGAAGTGAATGCTGAGTGTGTTCAGAGTGGAGTTGAAACACTTGATTAAAGCACAGGGGTGTGTTCAAGATAATAGTGACTTTGTAGGTTTATATAGCCTCAAATGATATGTTAGCATAGCTGCTATATAGGGACAGAAGTGTTAATCATACTGTGTGTTCAATTGACTGAAATAGCGAGCTGCTGTGATGTAGTTAAAAATATATTCCTTATTAATTTAATTGGAAACAGTCTACAAGAGAATAATAGATGGTAAGCAAAGGGAGGGCAAATGATGAACAAATTAAACTATGAGCAGAGTGAACAATTGAGCGAGCTGTTGTGATCTCAAGTGTAGCCCAGTGAATGGAGAATTCAGAGTGGCCGAGTGTAGCCCAGTGAATGGAGAATTCAGAAACAATGAGTGAAAGTGGCAATGGATTAGTAGAACATATGTTTAGATTAAAAGATGTATTATGACTAATAGCTAATTCTTAGAAACTTTAGAAAAGGGGAAAGTGTGGGTATAACTATTACATATGACAGAATCATGCAGTCTGTATGATTTACAAGTCTCCCCATGAAACCATGAAATTAAGTCAAATTTCACCAAAAAAAAATATTGAAAGGTATAATAACAATATTCTAAACGTATATTATTCAATATGCTTATCAAAATAAGTTGGTATAATGTGTCGGATCAATTAAGGCACAATTTATGTGTATATTGGCTTTATTGCTGAGAGGGTACAACTGTGAATGTATATAGATAAAGAAAAAAAATGAAAGTAATGAACAAGATTTGTATGGTTTATTTTTGCTTGCAGTTTCTAAATTTTTTTTTTAGTCTGTACATTTCTTATACATATATTTGTATCTGTTTTCTCTAAGTACCTATTGGGAATTTGATTTCATTTACTAAATAGATTTTCTTTAATTTTAAAGCTAATAAAATTATACCTACCCATGAAAGCATTACCTCCAGGAATAGCTAGATTGTTTAAGTCCTGCATGGTTTTTTTTGTTCTTGGTGAATTTACTACTGATAGAACAACAATGTGTGTGGTAATCATGGAGTAATTATCACTTATGGGAAAGTGATGAAGTTATGTTGCCATGGTGATATCATTGATTTAAATTTACAAACTGAAATCTTGTTTGCAGTACATATGGCTAAGTATCTAAGTATGTCTATAAAATATTAAAATAAATGGAATACTCACATAAACAGGATAAGGTGCTAGCAAGGAAAGAAACGAGAACTTGATAGTTGTGCAAGTATTGGTGGAAGTGTACAAGGCTATTGTAAGGAGGGCAGTCATCAGTCTGAATTTAATGGAACGTGCAGTCTCATGGGATTAATACTTAGACTCTCAACCAAAGAATCAGGGGTCTGGACTCGGAACCATAGGATGAGTAGTCCAGACTCAGAACCAAGGAATCAGTGCTCTGGACTCAGAACCATAGGATGAGTAGTCCAAACTCAGAACCAAAGAATCAGTGGTCTGGACTCAGAACCATAGGATCAGTAGTCCAGACTCAGAACCAAAGAATCAGTGGTCTGGACTCAGAACCATAGGATCAGTAGTCCAGACTCGGAACCAAGGAATCAGTGGTCTGGACTCAGAACCATAGGATCAGTAGTCCAGACTCGGAACCAAGGAATCAGTGGTCTGGACTCGGAACCATAGGATCAGTAGTCCAGACTCAGAACCATGTATAGGATCAGTGGTTCAGGATTCTGGGCTTAATTGGCCCTATTTTGGTACAGGGTCTTGTACACTTTCAATTTGGGAATTTAAAATTGAGAAGGGGGCAAAATTTGGAATTATTGATGTCTTATGTTAAACTGTAGATTGAAGTGTTAGAATTTAGGCTTATTCCTTTTTTACATCTTGATGGGTCATTATAATTAAAAAGAAATTCAAGTTTTTTTAAAATAAAAAGCATTGAAAAATTCAATCTGCTTGTCATTTGGGAATTTTTAGGTAAATTTTCAAAAAAGAGTCAATTTTCAATTGGGACAGGGTCCTTTTATCGGACCTGGATGCAGTGGATATTAAGTTTACTGTCCTGGACTTGCCACCTCAGGATCAATGGTTCACAATAAGACCACAGGATCAGTGGTTCATATTCATAACCTTGGGATTGGTGGTTCAAACTCAACTATGGATTTAGTGGGTTAGACTCAACTATGGATTGATTTAGTGGTTCAGACTCATCTATGGATCAAGTGGTTCAGACTCAATTAAGGATTGTTTTTTGTAATCATTGGATCAGTAGAACAAGGGAACAATGGCTCAGTCTCCAGCGCTGAATCAGTTTTTCAGACTCAGACACTGATCAATGATTCAAATTCACAAATGCTTCATCAGTGGTTCAGAGTTTAACTGTGTTATATTGCTTTAATCAACAACAAAAGGACATGTAATTTTTTTTGCATAATTATGTACTGTACATCACTAAATTTTCACGACATCTTATTTTTGCGATATAGTCATCACATCTTTTTTAGTGAGACAAAATTTTCAAGAATTGTGGTCATCTTTTTAATGTGAGACAAAATTTTCAAGAATGGTGGTTATTGCTCTATATAATCTTAAGGAATACTATTATACGTGAGAATGAAATTTTTGCGAGCACACTGTCTAGTGTAATTATGCGAAAATAAAGTTGTCATGAATAAAAAGTGATTTACAGTATATTGGTACAAATGTTAAATTACTTAAAGTGATGTAAAGCTGTTTTTTTTTAGTCGTCCATTTTATGCGAGCCTGTTGTGGATGGAGAAGGGGGAATTCCGGCTGGGTGTCAGTGTGACAAAGACAACGTCTTATGGATTGCAGACATGAGGCTTGGTCTTATCACTGTGGACAAAAATGGTGACTTCAAACAGGTGTGTGATTATCTTAGCAATGGAATTTTCAAGATTGAATCATAGTTTAACATGTCAGTAATTTTTAGGAAGTAAATTAAAAGGTCACATTTCAGTCTTCATAAGAGAAAAAAGCTCTTTCATTTTTTTGTTTGGACAATTTTACTGTTCTGCTTTTAAGAGACAAAACTTTATTTAAGAAGTAAGGAATCATTTTTCAACTTTTATCGGGATGTAAATACAGGTTGGTCATGTGATCAAATCCCATAAAGCCCAAAGAGCTTTATGGTAGATTTGATCATATGCCAACCCATACTTACATCAGAATAAAAGTTTAAAAATGATATCTTATTACTTATACCGGTATTTACATTTGAGACTGATTCATTATGTATATTATGTACTAAAATTTTAAACCCATAAAATGATTAACTTTTACAAACCTCAATGGTATAAATTGAATGTGAAAGGGAAAACATTTGCAAATGTAAATATTTGTCTTTATGCATCAAATTTGAGCAAATTGAATTCTGATTGAATGATACCAGACAAGAAAAACTTGTAAAGATATTCTCAGATAGTTTGATTAAATTCTGGACATATCTGTAGATTTGTAAGGAGGACAAGACAGGCCGTACAATGCAGGGTTGTAATGACTGCGCCTTTGATTACGATGGAAATCTGTGGATAACGGCACCAGCTGGAAAAATTGCCCCTCACCCATACGAGAGGTCGATGGAGGTACATACATGACTGTTTCAGGGCAATTTTGTGAGAGAGCATTTAATGTGTATTATTTTACTTCATTCATGTAGTAATAAATTCCGCTAAATGAAGTGCAGAAAATTAAATCTTTTAGTTTGCTTTTAGGAACCTTTTGGGTCTGTGTACTGCTTCACTAGTCAGAAGGAGATGTCGTTGATTGATACTGGGCTTAGGTTTCCTAATGGCATTGCTGTGTTACATTCCCCAGATGGCAGACCTCAAACCCTGATTGTAGCAGAGACCCCCACTAAATCCCTGTGGGCCTATGAAATCCAGGGTAATGGGAAAGTAGGACAGAGGAAACTGTGGGGAAAACTGCCAGGTATATATCAAAACAAAAATGTCACAAATTTACATGATTGATGCATTTCTCTGCACAGTTCAGTATTAGTTCAATGATTTTAATTTAGAAATAAAAAAATCCTCTTGAATTTTGCATATAAAATATGAATGCAGTATTGAGAATTAATCATAGACTGCAATAATAAAGTATAGATATATATATACAGACAACTACATTGCCTACTTTTCCATTTCATTTATAGAAACTATCTGTACATATATTTATGACAATTTTAATTGAGCACTTGCTAGGAGTTGAGATGTTCCATATCAGGTTACAATACAGAAGTTTTTATGCCAATTTTATATTTTTCTTGAAAGGTGACACAGAAGGAGGACCAGATGGCATGGACTTTGATGAGGAGAACAACTTATTAGTGGCTCACTGGGGGTCAGGATTTCTGGAGGTGTTTGGAAGAGAGGGAGGGAGCCCTCACACACGCATCAAGTGCCCCTTCTCCAGGACTAGTAACCTCCACTTCAGGAAAGGGACAAAGGAAGTATACGTTACTGAGCATGATTCTCATGGGGTTTGGAAGTTTGAGTGGCAGAGACCAGGCAAATTACAGTATTGTGACATCATATCTCTGTGAGGCAGCTAATAATGTTATTGTATTTATTGAGTTATTATGACTTTATCAGTGGTGCTAGGTTCTTACCTTAAAACACAGCTTGGTTGTTAAAAAATGTTTAAAAATAAATATGACACTACAAACATTGTATGATGCATTTATTGATGTAGAAAACAGACATTTTGTATGTATATTTTGATATACATATAAATGCAATATATTAACAATAACTGCGTAGTTTGTTTTAAATATTAAAATGACAATCATTTTTAAAATAATTGTATACAGGTATCTTTACATCGAAAATTTTTGTTTATATTGTATTTTAAACTTTGATTATTGCAAATTTATTGAAATAATGTTTACATATTTTAGAGCAATGGTTTATTTTTATTTACTGTTGATTATTTCATAATTTTATTGTTAATTTGTAAACATTCCAATAGATAATTTTTATGCAAATCTATTGTTTTTGTTGTCAATGCCATTGAAAAAGTTAATAAATATTGAACTGATACAAAACATTCTGAAAATATACCTTAAAAAATAATTAGATCTAGAAAATATTTAGCTTGTGAACTTAAGAGGTTTTCAATAAAATTTTATGAATTTGAAACAATAGTATGGATGAAATGACACAAAGTGTACCGATGCATCGACAAAATTTGATACTGATATATTGGAAAAAAAAACTGTTAGTTGTGTTAAACATAATTCATATTTGGCACTTTTGGCGAACTCAGTAGTTTATTCATTTCATCACCACCAAATTGTAATTTTCTGCAGGTGTGAAGACATTCATTGTGCTGATAAGTCAAAAGGTGCTAAATTTAAAAAAAAAAAAAGATTACATATGAAAATCAATTTCATTGTCAGTTTGTATCTTTCAGTATGTTTGGAAAATATAAATATCATTATGCATACAATAATATGAGATGATAAAACAAGTGTAAGAGACAATAATAAATTAAAAATTACAAAGCAAACATTAAGTACATGTATTTTTACTAATAGTATCAAAGTATAAAATGTTAGTTATCATGCTTCATTTATGTCAAGGAGAAAAAGAGAGTACAAAATAGATTAATCCCCATATTCTACACAAATTACATGCTCAATATAAAGGGTTTAAGGTTCACCATCTCTCTGCTCACTCATTTATAAAATGCTTTAATGCTGATGATTTTCCAAAAGAAAGGTAATTTTTAGTTAAAACACACAATTTCAGTATACAATGGCCTTTGCTCAGCAAAATTTGACAAAAATCGCCTTTCAACTTAAAATTTTCTAAAGAGTATACAGATTATCTCGCTTATCAGAGAGTCAATGAACCTTAAATGCTGAGCCCTAGAAGTTTAATAAAATTTGAAATCTTCACACTGTTTATTGAGATATTTAGCATTATGGTTAGTTTCACAATCTTCTTCACAAAATCGTACCCATTTACATTGCTTTTGTTTCATTCTTAGCTACATAAAAATAAAGAAATATATATATATACATGTATAATAATGAAATGAATAGAACAAAACCTACAATTTTGTGATAACCTTTGTAAAAAAATATATAGTCCACAAAATTAAAGTCAGGATTCCACTTCACTGTAATTCACTTCAAGGTCAAGACTAGAATCAATTTTCCCCAGATGAGTGATAATGTTCAAATATTGGTTGCAGCACAGGCATTGAGCTCGGACTCTGAAGCCGCGTTGAGAATCATTTACTAGCAACGAGTAAGGACCATTCCATGGTGCTGACAATTTGAATGGTATTGTTGGTGCTGAACTTGGGAAATGTTTCTTTTGAAAGTAAAAGGTAAACTTTACTTTCTGGGAATGAAGGACTACTTCACATTTTCCCTCATTTGTATGCCTTTCATGCTGATGCCCATCTTCTCTAAGCACTGTATTATGCTCAAGAAGAAATTTAAGAATTTTATTTTTCTTTACAGTGATCTCTTTATTCATTTCTTTTGGGTATTGGTGTTCCGAAAGTTTGTCTGAATGAGTGTCCAAAATAAGACTTTTGGAGTTTTCTTGCCTAATGTATTTGTGATGAATTGATACACCTTGTTTGTTGCATATCTTTACTTTGTCAGACAATGGTATTGTTAAGATCAAATGTTCCTCTTTCTGTTCCACTCTAGAAACTTTAAGGCTCTCTGTGTGTTCTTGTAATACGACACTGTAGTCATCTGCATTTGTTAAGTTGTATTGGTTGCTGGTATCCATATCTTCGTTGTAATTACTGATTGCTATAGTAACAATTAATATTTTATTGTTTTTATCGTGAAAAGCTGGTGCTTTTACACTCAAGTCTAGAATGACCAATGACTTCTTTAAACCTTGAAATTCAAACTCCTCCAGAAGCTGTTCAGCTAGCACCCCAGGATTCACATTGTTCTTGGAGATACTGTAGAGCAATGTTCTGTTCTTCAGCACGAAGCCCGTTTTTCTTCTAGAAGTAACGAAGTAAAAGTCATCCACCTCGTCAGGAACAACTGTTATAAAGCTTTTGATGCTGGAACAGATTGAAGACACAGCAAATGTCATATCTCCAAGATGAAGCATGACTTTATCATAAGATGGACGAATAATAGGCCTTGGTCTTTCTTTCTGTACCTCAGCTTGACCTGCAGGTTTTTGTTTCTTACTATTGCACCCTATCAGTGATTTTATTTTCATTTCAGCAAGCTGAGCACTTGCAGAACACAGAAGGTCTGAGAATTTTGTTATTTTCACTTTTTGCCTGAAAATAATTTCAAGAATATTTCCACTGAAAATCCGAATCACTACACCAGGGTTCTTTTCGTCAGATATTGTTCTTTCTATACCTTCCTCATCCACTGCATTAATGCGTTCTCGCATCGCAATGCGCAAACCTGACACACCAGAGAACATGGAATGCATTTCCAACAGCACTTTTTGAGAAACAGTGCATTCTGGTACCGTAGGAAAAATGTCATGGAATGACTCCACTACAGCATTTAGACAATCCGAAAATGTTTGGTCGATTTCTGAGTCATCCTTGAAGACAAATGTCCTCCATTGTATGTCTATGTTTTCAATATTTATTATTTTTTTGATTTTTTGCTTCGCTTTAACATGTAACTGAAATATATTAACCGAGGGAAATTCAGCTTGTGTTATATTATCCATAATTTTATTACGGAGAAAATCCCTATATCCGCTCTCTAAAGCATATGCAGTATCTTGTGATATCACAACACGCAAGGGCAATTCCTGAATGCATTTCTTGTAAAATTCAGAATCAGAAAATGTGAAAATATTTCCTTCACGCAAAACAACAAAATGGTTAAAATCAGCTTGAGTTTTCTCTGTTATGATTTCATGCTTCCATACTTCAAGGTGTTCTTTGAGCTCTGTCGATTCAGAAATCATTTCAAAACATTCCTTTTCGAGAATAGGCAGTTTCACGTACTTTGGTCTTTCAAGACATGATAGCAACTCTGTCTTTGCTAGCTTCTTTGTTAATACAAGTTGTCCTGGTTTTACTTTATTTGGCTTAATTTTCACCCAAACTCCGGATAAACCCTGTGGAATTGGATTCTGATTTATGACTGGGTACCTCTGTGACAAAAGAAGGTCATCAAAGATTCGAATATACGCATTTTTATATTCTGTATAGGAAGCTTTCAAGGAGAGTCTAACCAAATCATGTGGATGACTCAATTCGCGTCTGAACTTCAAAAGACAAGCTGGTATTAATCGCTTTTCATCTGACTGAAAAGTAATGGCAACTCCAATTTTCTTTTTGATTTCATCTTGAACGTTGATAACCGTTTGACTGAGTTCATTACTGCTCTCCGCAGGCCATTCCACCAATAGTTGCTTGTCTTCTGCGTCTGATAATCTAGAGAACGAGTTGCTCCTTTCTACAATCCATTCTTTATTGTCTGTCTCATTGCAGCAGACATGAACAGTCGCTGTGTCATCTTGGAAAGATACCCCCGTGTGCTGCAGGGATATAGTGTTCTTCAGTAGCACTCTTTTAGAAGTGTATTTTAATCTTAGCATTGATTTGCAATCGTAGGCGATAGCTACAAGCTCTCTGCCGACGTCACGACACATTAGCGTTCTCAAAATTGACAGGTCATTTATTCCAAAGGATGGTAAGTCTACTTCGAAAGTAACAGGTTCTATGCAGCGCTTTGTGCTGTTTGCGTTATCATTGTCTTCTATGCCATTGATCTTGGAGATGGAATAAACGGACTGGCATACTGCTCCACAGACAGAGCGCAAAATGGTAAGATTTTGCCATAACGGGAATTGCGATCTGTCATAGTAAAGACGAGATCTTGTGATCGTGAATTTCCAGTTAACCTTACCAATAACATGGTTGTGTCCACTTATGAATCCAGTTTGCTGCGAAGTCATCTTATCTTCAAGTGACACTATAATTTCTTTCATGTTCAAAACATCGCGGAGGGCGTATTTTGCGGTCTCTCTATCAAACATTGATTCGATATCATTTTTCATATCTCTGCACTCATTTAATGTATCCTCTAACCCTCCTAACTTATTTCCATATATTAATCCGTTTAAGGATTTCATGACAACTTCTGTGTTGTAAGTCCTTTTTCTTAGTTCAATGGCATTCCAGTCTACCTTTATTTTTATACCAAGTCCAAATTCCTTTTGAATCTGTAAAAGAAAATAATCGGTAAATATGGTCGTTTTAAAAATAAAAAAAAATCGAAATACTGACATAACTATAGTATTCATACAAAGGAAGTCCTAGTAATTGCATATACTTACAAAATCTTCAAAGTATGGAATTACATTCTCCTGTACATCTTCTTTAAGTAGAATTTCATTCTGTCGTTGACAGCAGCTTTTGTCTAATCTAACAAAGAGGGATCCTTTGTCCGTGGATACACGAATCTGGTTTAAAATGGCTCCCGTGTTATCCATGGTGACTTTCGGATGATCTGCTGTTCCACTCGTAAGGCATACTACTTTAACTGACTTCACAGGAGTAGATTTAGTGGCCTCACTAATTTTAATGTCCTCAATATGATTAAGAACTATACTAGATGTTAGGAAACATTGAATCCAAACATCAGAAAAGTTCCCAAAATCTGCAATTTTGCGAAAACTGTCGAAGTCTACAGTGTATTTTAAGTCAGAAAACTCTGAAGGAATGATGTTTTCTTTGGCACTCTTTGCCTCCAATTCCTGTCTGATCGATTCTGGAAATGTTACTGATTGGACCAGCCATAAATCAGACTTAAGAATCCTTGGATCATGTCTCTCTGGTGACAATTCAAAATTCGGCCATTGTTTACCTCCAATGTTGTCCAATTCTGATAACCAAAGTTGTTTTTGGGGTAATGTGTATTGGATTTCTTTAAAAGTCGAAAAATCGTCCTCTTGATAGTTCAAAGCTTTCTTGAGATGGACAAGAAGGTCTAATCTGGAGAGCCCAATAACAGCCTCAAAAATAGATGTGCCATAATTTTTCTTCATTGTATTGTTTAAACCGCTGGCAAGACTTAGCAATTTCACAAAAACCTCTTCATTTTTAGCGACAATGGACATGGCTAGTATATTTTCAAGAATAGTGGGACTGTTTTGGAATTCGTCCAGTGTTTTTTCTATGCCCTCCGTGGATATCATTTTTTCAATGCCTTCTTTTCTGGACACCATTTTGATTAAAGAGGTAAATGTTGCATTATAGCCACAAGATATCATCATAGCAGAAATCAATGGGTTATCCGACCTATATTTCCCTAATTTCCAGAAGTACTCCGTAAGCAATTGAGGAGGAAGAGCATTATTTTCTGACCTCATTGGTTGTGTATCCTTATTTAGTGGACCCCTGTTATATATTTTTGACCAACCAATACATTTATTTAACAAACAATTGAGGCACGACATATCAGGATCATCGTCTTTGTGACCAGCGTGAGAATCCCCCCATGGGTCTAGCAGAGCATCTGATTTAAGGAGAGAATAATAATCTTGAAGCCCAAGAGCACTCATATACATAATTGGAGTTAATCCGCACACGTCTTTTTCCTCGCAAAGCCCTCCCATTGTCTTTGAACGAACTAGTCCGATCATTTTTGGATCTCCAGTTTGAATGGCAAGATGGAGAATATTTTCTGCTGATTTTTTTGATTTCCAGCTCATTCCGTCATCATACTGAAAGATGTATTCTGCAATTTCTAGTTGAGAATTAGACACAGCAACAGCCAAAGGACATATATCCTTAACCTGAAGTTTAAGTACTTGGCGAAGATTTTCTGTTTCCCCATCAAAATATGCCATTAAAGCATGAAAAGCCTTCTTGCATCCATGTTTGATTGCTTCAAGTAGAAGGAATCCATGTGATGAAGGGTTTTCTAAGAGCAATTTGGGGATATGTTTGGAACTTGACACAACAGCGGCCGCGGCATTGTCATCTCCCTTTTTATATAGACTGATTAGATCTAGCTGCCGCGATTTAGGAAGAGTAGGTCTAATGTCAACATCTGACATAACGGTACCGCTTGTGTTTAACTTGTTCATGAAAAAATGAAACCAGCCATAAGTTTCCACACTGTCGATGTTTTCTTTTGAATGCATAATTTTTGTTTCAGTGAACAAGTTAACGACTTCGATATTTCCGAGGAGCACGGCATAGTCTATTGGTCTCATACCATCCGAATCGCTAACATCCAAGCCCCTAGTTGTCTTCTCCAGAACACATTTGGCAATAAGTTTCATGTTGTAAATTCCGCAATAATGTAAAGCATGTTTATTTCTTTTGTCTACACACAAAACGTCCACATCATTGAAGGCTGTCAGAATTTGTGCACAGAAATCCTCTTGCCCTTTTGAGGCTGCTCCAATGAAAAATCTTTCCCAAGTCTGCTTTGTAGGCCGTCCAGTGCTTGAAAAAATTTCAGTAAAATACTTCATAATTGGCCAATTTCCAGTAGAGGCAGCTAGCTCAAAATAAAATTCCGGTTTTGCAGCCTTCATAAATTCACGATCGTATTTGCAAAACTTTAACACGGCGTCCACTGTGTCGGGTCGTTTGCTACGAATGGCATATTCTATCACATCAAAATTCTTCATGTAAATCTTATCGAGAAGATCCATAAACATTGGGTTTTCAGTATCGAACCTGATGGGTACACTTTTCCTGAAAAGATATTTAACAATGTCAGTTTGACCATAGAATGCAGCCTTGCACAAAAGTGCCGCAAAACTGGCCTGAACTGTTTCGGGAAGTTTTGATATTGAAATATTGTCGAGAATAGACTTCAAAAAGTCTATTTGTCCTTCTCTAACAGCCTGCGCCAAAGAAAGCTGCCAACACACCTTCAGCTCTCGTTCTCTTGGAATCACCTGGGAAGCTACAAGCCTTAGAAAAGTCCAAAGACTTTTATTGCAGGCAAAATGGATTGTTGTCTCTTGTAAATTCAATCCAAATTGATCAACTAGAGCAATAACCTCCTCGCTTATATCTTGCTGATAAAGAAAAACTGCATCTGATCTACCGCAGTCTTTGGGTAGAGAAATAACAATACAATCCAGAATATTCAAGTTCCAAAGTAGTTGTTTTCTCAGTAGCTTGTACACATACTTGTTAGTTTTACTTGCAGCAATCAATGAAGAAATCACCCAAGGTTCAGTCATCGATAACAACAGTAGAACGTCATTTTCATCTATTCTAGTATTCGCATCTACTGATTTAAGAAAGTTTGTAAGAATTTTCCCATGAGGTGGATTTTGCTCTGAAGTTTGCAAGGCTGTGATATGCAATGTTTCTTTCGAACTCTTTTGCATCTCGTCGTAAATATATTGAACTTTCGTTTTTAATTGATTGACTATGCTCTTTTCTACTCTCTGTTCTGACAAAACTTCGCAAAGTTTGGTTAAAAAGTCAGCAAATTTAAACCCTTCATGTTTGTAACTGAATCCATGGTATTTCGGTACAGTTTGTTGTCGCAAGAGTGGTGTTTTGCCAGATGTTATTATATTGTCATACACAAACCCAAACATGCTGAAAAGAAAGTGAAAGACATTCCTTTGAACTTTATCAGTTCTGAGTGCCTGCCAAACAATGGAATGAAAAGTTTGGTTATCATTGAGATAGATGTTATTTTTATGATAGATATCACAAATAGTTCTGTGGTTTCCCAACATTGCGCATCTGTAGCCCGTCATCATGTAATCATCACTGACCTTTAATTTGTTCTCTGATATACTAAGAATTTCTTCAAAAAGCTTCATATCTCCCATGCCTGAAGCAAAATGAATCAAAGAATACCCTGAGATTCTGGACAAATGTGCTTTTTTGAAGAGATATTCAATGATCTTTTGATCTTTGTTCATTGGTATGGTCTGGGAATTTGGTGGAGAGACTACTATTTTTAAGTCTGACCCCTCTATTCGTTGTTGATCATTTCTAGATTCATGCAAGTCTGAACTATTCTTTCCATGTATACAAACTTTGACACTGGTATCTTTATTATCTGGCAATTTGATCTTCCTTCTTGCACTCATTTTTATGCCATGTTTAGAGATAAAAGAATAAGAATGTTCACATTCACGGAAACGTACATCTTTAATCTCAGGAGGTCTGTGTCTCTTTGTGAAACATCCTGGTACTGCGCGCTTTAAAAAAGGACTAGCGCCATTTAGAAGATAAAGTCTTGAAATTTTCCATTGCCTGTACGCTAAAGCATACCACAGAGGGGATGCTCCAGCAAAATCCACTTTGTTCAGTGGAAAACCAGGCAAATTCTCCCTGTGTACAACCTCAGTAAGTATTCGGGCAATTGTTTCCCAGCCAAAAATAGCAACAAAGTGAAAGATGGTTCTTCCATGCTTATCCACTTCTTCAACAGCCTTTTCCCATTGCTCCTGTTCAAGGATCCTGTGAAATGTTCTAGTCAGAGTCTCTGTAAGATGCATTTTCCGGCTTACAGCAGTCTGGAGTAGCAGTTGTCCCAGGGTTTTTGTTTCCAGCTTACTTACTTGACTTACCATGGTGTTGTACACATGTGCAATTGTTCCTTCTTTGCACTTCTGTAGCTGTGCAACAATGTTCCTGAAAATAAATTGGCTAGTTTAAGGATGCAGAAAAGTGTAATAATTAGAGATTGACTCAAAAATATCATAATGGACCAGGAGGCAACATTTCTTTTCTTTAATGTACTGTTTATTCAGGAAACATTTTTTATTTCTCTTTTTCATATATGATTCAGGGTTCTTAGTCATTTATGTTTTTTTCTTTACAAATAAAGATACTCTGCCAAGCCCCTACCCGTACTCTTCACAAAATATTAACTGCTAATATAAAGTACCGTGGAACAGCATATTCAAGAAGTGGTGTAAATTAAACGTGGGTTCTCAAAAACTTCAAAAAACTTTTTAAAAAAAATTAAAATCACCAAATTGTTCAAAAGTCAGTAACATCAAAACTTACGACTTTTCATACTTTATACAACCATTCCTTACGATGAACTAAAAACTTGACCTTTATTTTATATCAAAGGCAACTGCTTCTTCAATAAAAATTGAGCTCAGAAATTGTAATTGGTCATCAACAAACTTTGTTAAAGTCACTCTGATTCTATGCACAAATATTGTAGTTGATATTAAAAAGATGCTGGAGTTCCTCATTGACAACATCTATGTAGTCGCTTCCAAAGAACTGTTGCAATTCCGATGGGCATTAACTATGCCCCTTTATTAGCCGAGCTGAAGCATAATTTTTTCAAAAAACTTCTACATGAGAAGAAAACACTTGCTATCGCCTTTAACTCGACATTCAGATATATGACAGGTCGTCAGGGGATGCTTACTCTCCATGGAACCTGATCCCACCTCTTATGTTTTTAGAGGTCTGTGTTTGCTCTGCTCCAAATTTGTATTGTTCCAATGGATTTTTGAGCTTGACTACTGTTCGTTATCTTCATATTTTATCGACAACGTTTTATCAATTAACAATACCTATTTTCATTCATTTGTCGACTTGATATATTTCAATGAACTCTAAATTAAAAACACCTCAGAATCTGCTACATCCGTTACATATTTGGGCATTTTACTGACTATAGACGATTTAGGGGCCAAAAGAGATGACTTCAGCTTTTCCATCGTCAACCTTCCTCATATATGTAGTAATATTCTGCTATCACCTGTATTTATGGTGTTAATGTTTCTAAACTTATCCGATACTTAAAAGACAGGTGAGTGACAAATAAGTTGATGTTATGATTTCAACAACTTCGTTTAATGTCAGTATTTCGTACATCTATGTTCTTTATAATGACTTCCATAGCAAATGTAACCTTTCATTAGGTCGTATTTTGACTGACGTATACCTATTGTTGGGCGTTTGTGGTTTTTTTCTTTTTACTAAATTTGACTACATAGTATTTCGTTTACCAAATCTATACATAGGGCTCAAGGCGGGTGTGATCGGTCGAAAGGGGATTCTTACTCCTCATAGTAACTCTTCCTAGGCGCCTCATCCTACCTCTGGAATTTCCGAGTTCAGTCCGTGTTTTATACCCTGTTCACAGATTTGTATTGTTTGAGTTCAATCACTGTTGGTTATCTTCAACTTTTTCAGTATGACTCAAGGCGTGTGAATAGTATTTCGGCAAAAGGACGTAAAAACTATATTTTTTATTCATTTTTTGTCCCTGTCTTTCAGGTAGACCGTTGGACAATAGCAAATCTTAATGATATGAATTTACTGTGGCGTAGAGAAACTTTTGTGTTTTTGATTTTTTTATTTGCCTTTACAGTTTACTGAGGCGTGATGTTTTGAAAAATTTTCTTGTTTAACATGAAAAGAAATACCCTAGAATTACTTCTTATTAGAATTAATATGCAAACAAATAAAAAGTTTACATTTACAGATACCGGCAGAAAAAATGAATCCCTCTATTATGTATTTGTAAAGGATATAATATTACCACAGTTAACTTTTATAGTAAAGTATTGTATGTGGCTTGGTGTTTTGATACGAGTTTATTACCCCAAAATTTCGAAATGTACTCACGTGTTGGAGTTCAGGACCCTCACTAGCAGAGAAGGATTGGTATCAACTAGATAAAGCACTATGTCATCCAAATGACTTTCAATAGCATTGTGGAGAGGACCTCCAATCTCTTGACTGAAGAAATTCCAGTCAATCTTCTTCCTGCATTAAAAAATGTCAAGGTGTTCCTCATGTTCCCATTACACACTATCAAATCTGCTATTTAAATTTGTTTTGTATACATACCGTTCATACAAATCCATCAATATTTTTTTCTTTGCTTTCGATGAGGGTTTCTCACAAGAACACAGGTCACGAATTTTTCTTGTCCAGATTTCTACTTGCTTGTATCGTTCATCTGAGCAACAGGCAACGATGGTGTCTACTGTAAATTTGGCATTATATTCAACAAGAAGTTTATAGATATCCCATGATCCATATATTACTGCGAGATCTAAAGGTCTTACACCATCACTTGTCTTGGCGTCAATAGTCACGGGGAGAGGAGCCTGACAAATAGATATCAGAGTTAAAAATAAGCTAAAATTCTATGAGTGAGAAATTCTAGAAACAAATCAAGATTTTTATGACCAACAAAAATACTAGTATCTATACCTGTAAAATCATTTTGACGAATTCAACATTTCCTGTGCAGGACCCCAAATGAAGAAGTGTAGTACCGGAGGGAAAGCTGATACTGTTAGGTTCTCCCGAGAGATTCATCATTATTGTACAATCTCTTAATATTCTAGTCTCCTCTTTTGAAACCGTTATTCCAAATAGTCCTCTCATTTCATATTTACTAAAACTAGTCACAATCCTTGGTGCTAATTGAAGTAATGGAAGGATCTCAAAGTTTTTGATTTTTCCTTGCTTCCAAATTTTTCTTTTCAGAAACTTATTGTAGACTTCCTCCACAAATTGTCCCCCAGTAGTAATTTCAACCATGCACCTAATTATCTTTTCCAATGGGCTCTTGCACTCAGCAAGACTGTACAATCTATTGGATATTTCAAATTCTTTCGTTGTTATTTCAGTTGTCTTCATTCCCTCTACCTCCCTACCTGACTGTATCAAACTCTGCAAAATATTTTCAGGGACATGTTTTAGGCACGCATAGGCAAGGATATACTTGATGTACTCTATCTTAACAATGCTATCGTTGTCACTGAATTTTGATTGCCAAGTTTTGTTAAATTGTTTTTGAATTTGACATTTGTTTGAGGAAAGTGCGCAATGCCATAAAAGATGTCCTTCTCTATGTAGCATCAGAGCTGCAGAATTAAAGTGCCCTGATTCTAAAGCAAGCAAAAACGCTTCACATATGCCATGCACATATGTATCAGTAGATTCCTCGAAAATTTCAAATTTTCCCATTTGAACACCCGACCTAATAAGGAAACAACCCATTTTATCGAAAATCGTTTTGTCCCTTATCTTAAATTTTCTGTTGGAATTTCTTTCTGAGTGTTTGGAAGACAAAAGTTTTGCTAAAGTTGTTTTTTCATGCATTGTAAGAAGTTTTATGCTTTCCCAGATATAAGGTCTTAACTCTGACAGATCGTCACAACTGAAAATATCTCGAGATTTCAAGATATCAGGTTGATACTTTATTAATGTCTCAAAAACTTTCTCATTGACGTAAGGGGATCTACATGCTATGTCCAGGATGTACATATTCTCTATTTCTTGCATCTCTTTGTTTGTTTCATGTTTATGTTTCTTCTTCAATATGGCGTCGATGAATCGAGATTGTCCATAATATACCGCTAGATGTAAAGCAATTCCTAAATTATCATCCTTTGTTTTTTCAAGAATGGCGGTGAAAAGGGGAAAATTTTGTAGGATAACTGCAGCTTCAACTGGTAAATGATTCTTAAAGAAACAGTTCAAATAACAGTGTTGAGATTTTTTATATCTTGCTAATCCACATAGCTCATGGATAACATTTACAGGTTCTGGAATATCACTCGCAATTATTGCTGACTGCATAAAATGTTCCAAAACTTTCTGCATTACTACTGTTTTTCCGTTCTTTGAAAACATCATCAAATGATACAGAAAGCTGGCTTTGGGTTTTACAACATCCATTATCGACTTGATGATCTTAAAGGAATACTGTTGAATTGCAAAGTCCATAATAGATCTTCCGAGACTATCAGTATCCTTCAAAAGGTTTGGAAAATTCTGAGCTAGTTTCTTCATTGTTGTCATTCTTCCAGCTTTAATAGCACATTCCAGTGGAGTACTGAAAGCTACTTCTTCATGATGCTTGAACTCAAAAGCTCTCAAATGAACATAGATTTCTTGACTTTCAGGATTTCCTTTTCCACAGTGATGCTTTGAGTTACTTTTAATAATATCGCAACACTTTTGACATTTTTTGTATCGCTTAGTTGGACTACTGATCAACTTGGGTACTTTTGAATTAAGTGACCAGAACTTATTCCATGGTTTTTCTTTTTCATTGTCGTACTGAAATGGATCTTCATTCCTATTGAATTCTCGAAAAGGGCGATCATATCTGCAAAAGTTTGTAAAGTTCATTGATTCATTCCACATAATGTTCCTTTCCTCTTGCCTCTGAACTATTTTCTCTCGTTTGTCCTGACTAGCCTGTTCTATTTTCAATTGTTGTATGACGATGTCCTCCAGATCTTCCTCAATTATTGGCAAATAATGAAGGATGTTTTGACCCAACTTGTCAATAGCCTTTAAATTGCACTTACTAGTATATTTCTGAAGAAGGACTCTAACCACCTTCTGCTGATTTCTGTAAATAGCAGTCATCAATGGAGTCTTTCCGCTGTTATCTTGTATCTTAGCATCGACTTGACGATCTGAGTGCAACAACATATTTACTATTATATCATGTCCTTTTTCACAGGCATAGTGCAAAGGGGTAGCACCTCGCCAGTCTGTAGGGTTTGAATTTACGCCCGCTTCCAAAAGCACTTTGACGCATTCACTGTGATTGTTCTGACAAGCTTCGTGCAAAGGCGTTCTTTTCATTTCATCTGATAAGTCGAAAGGTATTCTTAGGGATTTCAGAAGAAGCAATATCTTATGGAGGCCAAGAGATGCCGATTCAAACGTATACCTTTCAGATGCTCCATTTTGACCACTCAGTAAAGGCAACAGTTTTTCTGCTACAGATTCAACATTTCTGCATTTTTGAAAACCCTTCCGATATCCATCAAATACTTTCTTTAATGATTTCATGATCTTGCAAACTGTGGATTCATAAAGTATTAGGTTACTCCGAATCTCAAAAATAGCTAAACATACCCCATAGTGACAATTTTGTAGAGCTTTTTGGATGCCTTTATTCAGATCCCCTTCCTGTAAACTCTCATCGTAGAGTAGATGCACTTGTTTCACGTTTCCACACTGACAAGCAGAATGAAAAGGTAGGTCACCTTCTATATTTTTCTTACACTTAGGAAAACGCTTTTCTAATAAAACCTCAGTAAGCTGAGGACTCAGTGTGGATGACAAATGTAGCAGGGAACATTCCAACTCTTCCAGCCTTGGATCAAGCGTGTCATAGTCAGGAAGCAACGTTAATAGCCGAAGAGCATGCTTTTCTTTTTTCAACAAAAGCATGAGATAACACAAGTAAAACTGAAGGTGTTTGCTGAGGGAAAGGGTTTCTAGTTTAGAAGCGATATACTCTATATCAGCCTCTTTCTGTAGAAGGAGCAGATCAATGCAGTTGTTTCCTAAGTTATCCACGTCAAGGACATCTGAGTTTAGCTGGAGAAGGTATACTATTACTTCCTTCCTTCTTCTATATAGGGCGCAATGTAATGGGGATTTATCATTCATGTCTTTAGTATATATCTGATCTCTCCCAATGCCATTAATGAGAATTTCACAAGCATCCAATTTTCCATTTTCAGCGGCATAATGCAGCGGTGTTGCATTTCGTTCATCACAAATATCGCATATTTTAGGTGTGTATGGAAGTTTTTGAAGAGCCTCCTCTAATTTCTCTAAGTTTCCACATGCAGCATTTATATGAAGAGATGTCGCTTTTAGCTCTGAAAGACAGAAAAAGTCATTTTGTATTTAACAGATGGTAATATTAACTGATATAATTAATCGTTGTTTCAGCTAATTTCAATCATGGTTGATTACCCAAGAGATTTGGTTTCCAGGACATGATATCGGTTGGTATGAAAGAAAATCCCTCCAGAAGGTTTTCACACAACTGTTGATTCAGTTCTTGTGGAGTCCAGTGGCTGACTTTACTCCGCTCGTACAGAAAAATCACACAAGCACACATTACAATGTAGCGCTTTCCATCATAGGAGTGTGCAACCTTAAAAAAAAAACAAATCGGGATTCACGGATTTATGATAAAGTAACACGAATATCTCGAAATTCATTTTTATGCAATAAATGCCATACCCTTTTGTACTCTACATCCGGGTATCTAAATTTTTCCATCGGTAATTCCCATTTTGGATTGGACCTGCCCTGATCAACTGAGTTCATTTGAGGAATTTTTGGAAGTATGTCAAAAACGGTTGTCGTCTTCTCGTCTGATCGCAAGATTTCTCTTGTTTTACACAAGAAAATGAACCCTCTTTCGAAGTATTCCTTGAAATAAAGATTAATACTGCGTCGGACATGCGACAATTTATCTTTGGAGTTGACAGAGATATAGTGGTGTGTCAAGGTTTGTTGCGTTCTACTGACAGCTTGGAACTTCACCAGGAGATCTCCACCTTTGTCTCTTGGAGTGACCGGGCGTGAGGAGAACGAGTACAACCCATCCTCGCCATACCCTGGCGCCTTATCAATTACTCTGAAAATAATATTATCTACTCAATCTTTCAACAACTGTGTGAAACAATCATAAAATGCATCTTTTTATGTTCTTGTAGAAATGCCATTTTGACTAGTCACTTTCTTCATATCATAAATAGAATGAATAATTTAAGAATGGTATATTCGGCAACTGCATGATAATTTATTAATCCTTTATACAAACATGTATCGCTTAAACAAAATTTTTATTTATTTAGTACAGTGTTGACAGTTTGATGGTTGTCTTTCATTTTGAACGTTGACACTTAAGTGTTTGGATCCTTCCGGAGAAAAAAAAAATCAGTGGGCTTCCTGCTAACACAGCTTAAAACAATCTAAAATTATCACAAATCTCAGAATAAGATGCTTTTTATGTACATTATTATGTCTGAACCATATATAAAGAACGACACATACCCCATTTCACCTATATCTCCTATCTATCCTGTACCCATATTTGTGTTTCCCCTTCAATGTTGTAAGAATCAAAAATGCCTCACTGCGCATAATCGGCGTCCTCGTTGCCAAGATCTGTATTTTTAAAGCCTGTTAGCACAACAAAAAATGATAATTATTTGATATCTACAGTTAAATCTCTTATTTGGGGCATTATCGATCGACATTCAGACACCTGTGAGAACTAATGTGCTTTCTTTGTATTATTTACTTAAAATCTTCCCTGTTCTTACATTTAATTTAGTATCTCCTACAATAGTACATGATGTCCACCCTGTGTATTGTTGTTCGGAAATACACATCCGTGGACTTAATATCTATAGAAGCATTTAAATGGAAGGTTGATAACCATTTTTATGAGCAGTGCATTATTCTCAGATGACTAAGTTTATAGACAATATGTCACTCCTTGTCAGTAGCATTTAAATACGCTCTTTAATCAGACGCCAATTCATTTTATTTTGATATTCTTACAACTTGTTTATATATGTTCTTTTTTCTCGTCAAAGTGAAAATAAACAGGTTTCAAATCTTGTGGCACAAAAATGATTTCTTGTCTGCTAGACTTGGGCAGATTCACAAGCCTGTTAGATTGATAATGGATCAGTGTAAATAGTCTCACCATATACCACATTGGAGGCATACATGACTGCTAGTCCTAATTTATATTAAAACACCTGAACGTTTTGGAGATATTTAACACAAAAGGTAAGTGAAGTACGTTCTCGTGATATTTTCCAATTACTCATTTAAAATTCTTTAAAAATCTGTTTCTAATATTTGTTTTACACTTCTTAGAGATTGAGTTCTAAAAATCAATGCCTTACATTTTTGTTCCACAGAGTTTGTTAAAGAACAGCTGAATACCTGTTCAAGATATAACTCACCTGGACTAGGTAAGTGTACATGGGGGTTATGTAGTCTTGTGGAGTTTACTCCCAAATCGAAAGCTGTCAAATGGAAACATTTATAACTTAATTCAGTTTCAAACGATGTCAAATATACATTTTTATCAAATGCTGAAACGATAAGACTTAGTTAGAAACATTTGAAATGAATAATGCAATGGTCATTAACATGCATTAAGAGTACTCCTGGGTAGTTTTATGTTGCAAAAGACTCAGAGGTATTCAGATACTGAGTTCTTTAATGATGAAACGTTGTAAAATCTCAGTGTCCATGAACAGAAGTAGAAGAAGAAGACCCGATAGATACGAGATGACTTTAAAGGAGAGACAACTCTTCGTGGCGGTGGATAAAGGACACACCAAGATGATAGAAATACTGATCTCGCAGGGCGCAAGCGTCAACTGCCGAGCTCGGGTAAGTGCACTCGCCGCCATCTTTGTTTTCAGAACATCGTGACACTTTATAGACAAACATTCCACTTGAGATGAAGAAAAAACATAAATAAATTAGGGTGACTAAACATACAGTAATTAGGAATTCACGTTTTACCTCTGATGAAGCTTACCACAATGATATTGCATAACCGGATTAATAAAACTATGAATTCAAACAAACATCATGCATTGTTTTCAATAATTTCAAGGATGATGGAGCAACACCTTTGATTAAAGCAGCTAAGAATAGAAATCACGTGGTTCAAAAGTTACTCCTACAAAGAGGAGCAGATATCACTTCAAGGGATGCGGTAAGAACCGTTGTCAAACACGTGCTGTACACACCCTGCCCGGTACCTTTTACCAGTATACCCTTCTTCTTAATAGTCTGATTAGATTTTTTCCAACATTCAAATGCATTTTAGGAAGGGTTCATCTATAAAGAAAGCTAATAATGCAATTAATTGATTAACGTCCATTATGTACGCAGTCACTCACCCAATTACATACAAGCGCGTTAATATATCTCCCCAACCTTCGTTGCGAGGGGATATTCATTCATTAGAATCCTGATTACCGATAAAATTTTTGTTTATTTAGTTCTCCTGAAACACTGCAATACATTATCAATAATGAAACACGATCAACAGGAAAATATGTTGATGTTTGCTTTTAGTGTCAGATACGTATCTATACGTATATTTATTTTGGAAAATGACTGTGTTCAAAATACGTCTTTAAGTGTACATTAAGAAAAGTCGTATGCTTATCAAATATTAGTATGTACCGGCAGGAGATGCTTGTGCAAAACTGATCATGAATATCTAAGTTATTTTGTAAATGTTTATGAACTGCAATGTTGGTGGCCAGTAAAAATAAATAAATGGACATAAGATTAAAGAGTTAGGGAAAAAATCTATCTTTTATTTTGAAGATAAGTACTTTCGCAGAGCAGTAAGAAAGTTAACACTGTATTTAAGATAATTAGCCTGTAGTCATCATACCATTTTTTATCTGGTAAAAGAAAAGTTTTATTTATAATATAGTACTATAGCTTGTATCTCCAAGATCCAATATGGTAAAATGTGAATTTTTATGTATCTCTACCATACAGCTGGGACTGTCGGCGATTCATTACACGGCAGAACCAGGGGACACGGAAACCCTTAAGTTGTTACTGGCTTACCAGTCACCAATAGACACCAGAGATGTGGTAAATATCAGAATTCCATCTTAACACTCCAAACAGTGTAACTTATCATAGCCAGAGATGTGATAAATATCAGACTTCCAACTCTACAAACAATGTAACATCATAGCTAGAAATGTAGTAAATATCAGGTTTTTATCTTAACACTTTCAACAATGTAACTTATCATAGCCAGAGATGTGGTAAATATCAGACTTCCATCCTAAAACTCCCAACAATGTAATATCATAGCCAGAGATGTGGTAAATATCAGGCTTCCATCCTAACACTCCCAACAATGTAACATCATAGCCAGAGATGTGGTAAATATCAGGCTTCCATCCCAACACTCCCCATAATATAACTTATCATAGCCAGAGATGTGGTAAATATCAGGCTTCCATCCCAACACTCCCCATAATATAACTTATCATAGCCAGAGATGTAGTAAACATCAGGCTTCCATCCTAACACTCCCAACAATGTAACATCATAGCCAGAGATGTAGTAAATATCAGGCTTCCATCCTAACACTCCCAACAATGTAACGTCATAGCCAGATGTGGTAAATATCAGGCTTCCATCCCAGCACTCCCCATAATATAACTTATCATAGCCAGAGATGTGGTAAATATCAGGCTTCCATCCTAACACTCCCAACAATGTAACATCAAAGCCAGAGATGTGGTAAATAACAGGCTTCCATCCTAACATTACCAACAATGTAGCTTAACATAACCAGAGATGTGGTAAATATCAAAATTCCATCCTTACACTACTAACAATGTAACATCATAGCTAGAGATGTGATAAATATCAGGCTTCCATCCTAACACTACCAACAAAGTAACTTATCGTAACCAGAGATGTGGTAAATATCAGAATTCTCCAAACAATGTAACATTATAGCCAGAGATGTGGTAAATATCAGGCTTCCATCCCAACACTACCAAAAATCTAACTTATCATAGCCAGAGATGTATAATATCAGGCTTCTTTCCAAACACTCCCAACAATTTTACTTTTCATAGCACAATACCCTCTGTTGAAAATGTGATACGAAGGTTTATCCAAAAGACTAGTTATGTCACAATTGCCATATAATCTTACAAAATTTTTTATTCTAATACCTCTATCTAATTTAACTTTTTTTCTTAAAATTTCATTCATATATATAGTTAGTGTATTTTAGAAAATTAAAATAAACTTAACGTTGGGTGTCGTCTATTGCCACATTGCAAGAATGTACACGTCGTCATGACGTTTCTCTTGGCACTCATTTTCAGCTCATCCGCAACTAAGATATACGCAAAAAGGAAGGAATAGATTTAGAAATAAATTTTGAACAAAGTTCAAATAATTTAAATACAGCAACTCAAATCAAGACGCTTCATAGCAAAATGGCAGTAAAAATTATGAAAAGGAAGCACATGAGAGGTTTAATGAGATATGCGGATTAACTGAAAATAAGTGCCGAAAAGTAACGTCATAACGACGCCGGTAAAATTCTTGCCGTGCGACGATTGACAAAACCTAATGTTGTGCTTGTCTTAATATTTTGAAAAGTATTTTAAATAACGGAATGGAATTTTAAAGTGAAAATCAAATTCAATAGGGGAATAAGTATATGAATTTTCGGTGATAATATTCAAAATTAAAAATTTTGTAGCTTTGTGACATAACAGTTATGATCAACCCTCGTAGTTATCCATACTTTAGATAGAAAAATATAAATGATTATCATAGGAGATACGTATATACTACATGTAGTATGCAATATCCTAACTATTGGAAAAAAGTCACCCAGAATTATCATGGTTTTTCAATTCCAGAAGTGTGCTATATTTGTTTGATGTCAAAGTTTGACTAAATCATAAAAATACGAATTAGAATAATGAATATTTAAAAACCCAACTTTTTTATATTTCAAAAGTAGAGAACCATTCTAAAACACCTATGTTACCCAAGCAACATCTATCGTGCAGTTAAATAATGTAAACATGCAAGCTGAAGATTGGAATTATTTTGATGATTTATAAATCAATCAATATTGAAATAATAATAATAAAAAACCCCAAAAGCATGTCATAAAAAATTCTGTATATCTGAGGTTCTTTACGCCAGTATATCTGTACCCGAGGTTCTCTAGGCCTGTTGTACTGTACCCGAGGTTCTTTATGTCAGTAGTACCTGTACCCGAGGTTCTTTATGACATTAGTACCTGTACCCGAGGTTCTTTAGGTCTGTAGTACCTGAACCCGAGGTTCTTTAGGTCTGTAGTACCTGTACCCGAGGTTCTTTACGCTTGTAGTATCTGTACCCGAGGTTCTCTTGGCCTGTAGTACTGTACCCGAGCTTCTTTACGCTTGTAGTATCTGTACCAGAGGTTCTTTACGCCTGTAGTACTGTACCCGATGTTCTTTACGCTTGTAGTACTGTACCCGATGTTCTTTACGCTTGTAATACCTGTACCCGAGGTTCTTTACGCCTGTAGTACTGTACCCGAGGTTCTTTAGGTCAGTCGTACCTGTACCCGAGGTTCTTTAGGTCTGTAATACCTGTACCCGAGGTTCTTTACGCTTGTAGTACCTGTACCCGAGGTTCTTTATGTCAGTAGTACCTGGACCCGAGGTTCTTTATGTCAGTAGTACCTGTACCCGAGGTTCTTTAGGTCTGTGGTACCTGTACCCGAGGTTCTTTATGTCAGTAGTACCTGTACCCGAGGTTCTTTACGCTTGTAGTAACTGTATCCGAGGTTTTTTATGTCAGTAGTACCTGTACCCGAGGTTCTTTACGCTTGTAGTACCTGTATGCGAGGTTCTTTATGTCAGTAGTACCTGTACCCGAGGTTCTTTATGCCAGTAGTACCTGTACCCGAGGTTCTTTATGTCAGTAGTAACTGTACCCGAGGTTCTTTACGCTTGTAGTACCTGTACCTGAGGTTCTTTACGCTTGTAGTATCTGTACCCGAGGTTCTTTATGTCAGTAGTACCTGTACCCGAGGTTCTTTACGCTTGTAGTACCTGTACCCGAGGTTCTTTATGTCAGTAGTACCTGGACCCGAGGTTCTGTATGTCAGTAGTACCTGTACCCGAGGTTCTTTAGGTCTGTGATACCTGTACCCGAGGTTCTTTATGTCAGTAGTACCTGTACTCGAGGTCCTTTACGCTTGTAGTATCTGTACCCGAGGTTCTTTATGTCAGTAGTACCTGTACCCGAGGTTCTTTATGCCAGTAATACCTGTACCCGAGGTTCTTTATGTCAGTAGAACCTGTATCCGAGGTTCTTTACGCTTGTAGTACCTGTACCTGAGGTTCTTTACGCTTGTAGTAACTGTATCCGAGGTTCTTTATGTCAGTAGTACCTGTACCCGAGGTTCTTTACGCTTGTAGTACCTGTATGCGAGGTTCTTTATGTCAGTAGTACCTGTACCCGAGGTTCTTTATGTCAGTAGTACCTGTATCCGAGGTTCTTTATGCCAGTAGTACCTGTACCCGAGGTTCTTTATGTCAGTAGTACCTGTATCCGAGGTTCTTTACGCTTGTAGTACCTGTACCTGAGGTTCTTTACGCTTGTAGTAACTGTATCCGAAGTTCTATATGTCAGTTTTACCTGTACCAGAGGTTCTTTATGTCAGTAGTACCTGTACCCGAGGTTCTTTACGCATGTAACTTATCTGTAACCGAGGTTCTCTAGGTCTGTAGTACTGTACCCGAGGTTCTTTATGTCAGTAGTACCTGTACCCGAGGTTCTTTAGGTCTGTGATACCTGTACCCGAGGTTCTTTAAGTCAGTAGTACCTGTATCCGAGGTTCTTTACGCTTGTAGTACCTGTACCCGAGGTTCTTTATGCCAGTAGTACCTGGACCCGAAGTTCTTTATGTCACTAGTACCTGTACCCGAGGTTCTTTACGCTTGTAGTACCTGTACCCGAGGTTCTTTACGCTTGTAGTACCTGTACCCGAGGTTCTTTATGCCAGTGGTACCTGGACCCGAGGTTCTTTATGTCAGTAGTACCTGGACCCGAGCTTTTTTACGCTTGTAGTACCTGTACCCGAGGTTCTTTATGCCAGTAGTACCTGTACCCGAGGTTCTTTATGTCAGTAGTACCTGTACCCGAGGTTCTTTATGTCAGTAGTACCTGTACCCGAGGTTCTTTATGCCAGTGGTACCTGGACCCGAGGTTCTTTATGTCAGTAGTACCTGAACCCGATGTTCTTTAGGTCTGTAGTACCTGTACCCAAGGTTCTTTACGCTTGTAGCACCTGTATCCGAGGTTCTTTACGCTTGTAGTACCTGTACCCGATCTTCTTTACGCCTGCAGTACTTGTACCCGAGGTTCTTTACGCCTGTAGTACTTAAATCCAAAAGTCTTCACAACTGTAATTCTAGTATCCGAAGATCCTTACATCCGCAACATTTGTATCAAAAGTTTTACACATGTAATACTTGTATCCAAAGTTCTACACCTGTAACACTTGTATCAGGAGGTTTGCTTTGTTTAAAAGATCGATTAAATTGAAAAGAAAATTACACTTTCATGAATGGTTTGGGTATATATAGATGTAGACTTTGAAGACTTGCGTGGAATCTTCTAATGTAACAAGTGATTATTTTGGGTATTGAATATTTTGAAAATTTGCCTAAGGAAAGATAGCGAAGTGCTAATACAAATAGTATCTGCTGTAATATATGAGAAAAAGTTTGCTTTCTTATGACCGAGAGTTCCATAGAACATATTTTTACAGTGGTTCTTTACAAGGTCTAAACTCAGATTTAAGTAAGATTTTTCAGAGTTGTTACACGTCTCTCCAATTTTACCTGCCCGAGGAGCGTATTCTTCAATTTAGATTTTCCAATTTTCAGGAGGGGTGCACGCCTCTACACTACGCCGCAGATCGCAATAATTTAGCAGCAACAGAAATTCTCATCTTTTGTGGAGCGGACGCCTACTCTAAAAATAAGGTATACCGTCAATGTTCTATAATTATTTGCCGTTCCTAGCTGTTCTGATGCGACATGCTTATGTAAGTTCATACTACTGATTAGACTTGAGTTTAATTTTACGTTTGAATTGTAATCATTATTTTTTTTTAAAGAAAGGAGCGTGCCCATTTTCCATCAACAGAGATGAAGCCTTTCGAAAAATTGCCAGTCAGTCCAGAAAAGTTCTAGAGGGTATAAAAAACAAGTATGGCATATTTTTGAGTGATTCATTTGTTCTTAAAAGTTAATTTGGCTGCATTACAAATATTTTGAAATTTTTTTTTGAAAATGGTATTTCATCATTTTTCACCTGTGTTTTCTTCCCAAAGTCATAAAACTAATATGCTTGTGGGTACTGGTGAACATGTTATGTTGGATATTTCTAAATATGCTAATTTGTTTGCGATCATATTATTAATACATGTGCTGTTTTATTTTACAGAGATGTAATTATACAACACGATGAACTCCTTCCAGGAAAGGTTAGTTTCCTTGAAGACATTGAACTGAAAATATTTACTCCCCACAATTTTGATCTGACTAGCCTCAGTTTCTTGTGTAGACGTGTTCGTCCGGAATTCTGTATGGAATCACTGAAACCTGTCGGGAAAGAAATCCTAATCAGTGATGCGTTTGAGTATATTACGTCCACTGTTCATGTAAGAAAAATGGTAGAGCTGGAAGTTCCACTTTACGATCATCCTGATCCATATGAAGTAATCCAGATAAAAACGAACGAAGGTGTTATAGAGGATCCATCTGCAATAGTTGAAGGACCAACAACATTAAGCGAGGTAAATGCCACTGATCAAATTTTCATTTTTTTTATAAACTATTTTAAAACCGATGGAATCTAAAATAAAAGAATAAAAATATACATGTAGTTTAAATTAGTTGTGCTTTTCTTTGGATTTTTGTAGCATCTAGGAATTTTGCGATGGAAGTTAAGAATACGTTTGGACATTACAAAAACAAAATCTTTCATACTAATCACGATACCAAAGATGGAGAAATTCCCCATAGATTCTAGTGGAGGGGAGTTTGTTTCTGGGGTGGACAGATTTATTAACATAAGAGTTGCCCCGTATACTTTCCATTCAGGGACAGTCAACTTAGAGGTAATAAAGATATCATTGTCCTGTAAGCTAGATATAGCTTAATTTAAAATTTTATAAGTACCCGGTAAATAAATACGGAAAAAGTACAAAGCTTTGATTGGATACTATTCTGGGGAGTTTCTTTTAGGTCATTCCAACTCCGTTGTATAAACCTGAACAGTACAGGGATGTGTTATCCATTGGTCACTTCTATGACCTGCACCACAGTCTGGGCTGTAACAAGTTTCAAGAAAATGGTGTTACCTTTACTTCTCCTTTACCTCACGAGTATGAAAACGAGGGAGAACTATGTGTATTAGCAGCAGATATTCCAGAAGATTTCGATCCCGACTTAGATGAGGCTCTGGACGAAAATGTTTGGGAAGTTTTGAAAAGAGATCCAAAGACGAAGAAAGGAAAAGTTTCCTGCGATCTTTCTCACTTCTCAACGTATGTATTGCAAAGACAAGAAAATAAAAAGCCACTGTTGTCATTCCAAGCACTTTTCATCAACAGTAATACAAGAAAGTGTTTTGTTTTTTCAGACACGTATTGGCTGAAAAAAGGAAGGGGGCCACAGACAAAGATTTAAAAATACAAGTCACTCAACTTCATACTAAAGCACTGAAAAGAGCAAAAATAGTCAAGTTTTTTGCTGTAATTAAAGCTGTGCCTGGAAACCTTTATTGGACGGTTCTAGAGTGTACAAAACCTCAGAAAGTGAAAGACAGACTGAATCATTGGAAGGCTCAAGACTTTATTGTGCTGAATCCTGAATGCACTGGAGAATATGATACATATGAAAAACAGGAGTATGATATTACATTGTCTGGTAACATTAAAAAGTTTTCTGGAACAACCAAACTGGAATTTCACTCAAAAAGAGATAACTATCAACACATTGTTATATCCATGTTAAACAAGGAGGAACCTCCGTGCGGCGCTCTAGATGTTATGGAAATTCCCAAAGAGAAGGAGGTGACCAGTATCATTCTTTGGCTCTCTGATATGCCTGTTAAGGAAGTACCTAAGGAAGAAGATACATTTAAAGGTATGATATCGATAAGCAGACTCGGTCAATAATCAGAGTTAACCGCCCAGGTTTTAAAAATGACATTTATTACGACATAATACATGTAATTGTCATAATTTCTTTATCAAAATAAAGGTTTTACCAGAGAGAAACTGCTCAGGGAGATTGCTTCTAAGCTCGGTCCTGAATGGGTTCAGTTTTGTGTTTTGCTGGGGGTTCCGTTTCACAAAGTGGACAAAATTCGTGTCAAGTCGACAACAAAAAGTGCATCGGTAGAAAATAAAGTTGTTAAGGTTAGTGACGTGAAACGAAACTAAAAAAGTTTCGAAACTAAATAAAAGTTTCCCTAATCAACTGACCATCATTACTTTCCTTTTTTAAATATAAAATATTCAAACTAAATTTGATGTATTCTAAAGAAACGGGTTCCCTACATTCATAGACCAAATAGTTAAACAGCTTGCAGACATCATTTCCACAAAAGTACAAGCTCTGAACTTACAGCAACCAATTTCTATTAATAAGAAACAGAATTCTGTTTCAAACAGATATTGTTAGAATGGCGGAAAAATTCTCAGCACCTAGACGATATGGGAGTGGTGGATCTAGTCACGGCCCTATCCAGAGTGGGGCGGAACGACATCTCAGAACTAGTTCACGAGGATCTGAGTGAATGGTATTTGACAACATAAAATAATGTAAATCAATTTTTTTTTTTACATATTGTCATGTTTATGCTTACCCAAGATTTTTTTTTCTTTAAAGGTTGAAAAACAATGAATTTGAGAAGGGTGACAGGTTTTATAAGTGGGCAGAAAATGCCATGAAAGGAACTTTGGAGATATCGAAAAATGAAGGTAAAATTAAAAGCGCTGAAATTACGGCCAAATCGCATAAAAATTTAAAAGTTACAAAATTTGGGATTTTTCCTTACTTCTCTATCTTTTTTTTTTTTTACTTCCACAACAGTTTACTGTCATTATTTCCGTTTTGTAGATTACCCAGAACCAATGTCAGACGAATTTTTCGTTCTCCTCGTAGAAAAATTTGCTAACCCGGATTTTCAGAATTTAGGTGTGTTGCTAGGAATACCAGAAAATCAAAATGCCAACATATTTGCCGACACAACTTTTCCTAACTACCAGTATAAAGTTTTACGTGTGAGTTACCGATTCCTTCCAGCTTTGTTGCATAAGCATATTTCATTAAACTAAACTTTCTTTCACTGAGGAAAAGTTGTTCTTACAGCATTGAGGTCATCAGTCTCAAGAAGCAATGTTTTTAACAGAGATTTTCCTTCATATTTTTAATAATTTTGTTATTAAAATCTCATTTAGATGCTGATTGTAGCACGTGAACTTCATGAAGACCGCATGGAGGCTTTAATAGATCTTATTAATGCTCTTCAAGCCACTGAAAATTACGACGCCGTAGATTGGATTCACAACTGCAAAAATGAATGGTATTGATGCAATGACTGGTTCTGATAATGTTTTAATGTAATGGTTCGCGATAAAGAAGAAGGTGCAGTTTTAGCTTTATTGTGCCCTAAAGATTTAATGTTTTCAAAAAGTTTTGAAACTGGCTTAAATATTAGTTGAGTATATGACTGCGACAAATCAGGAAAGAATATGGCATGGAGTACCATTCTGACGTCTTAATCATCAAAATTACCCATTTCCAGGGTTATTTTCCTTAAGAAAATAGTGTCCACAGCCGTCGCCCACTTTAATTTTCGGATATGTTGTGTAAAATTCTTTGAAAAATAGCATATCTCAAAATATTTGTGGGCGATGCCTGTGGACAATATTATCTAAAAGAAAATTCCATTGAAAATTGGTGTCTTCTGCAACTTTGAAGAAAGTACGGGAAAATGCACAAATTTATGACGTAACTATTAGCTTTTAGAAGGTCGTGTGAGAAAAATGATTTGTATGATCTTTCTGCATGGAATTTCAGTGATTCAAGCATGAGTTTTAATTTTTTTTACATCACTTTTATCTTTACGAAAAACAAAGGGCAAGATTTGTATTGAAACCGTACCTTGTTCTTTTAGGATAGTAACGATTCACAGTTCACTAAAATTGGGGTAGCACAAAACGTGTTCAGAAATATTTTTCTCTACAAAAGATTGGAGTCTTCGCAGTACTTTTTTAATGCAATTTTATCCCTGAAATTAAACGCCTACTTGAATATTTACAAGTATAAATACCTCACATGATATATATTAGGCAGACCCCCTTTAGTAAGAATTTAAAAAAAAAGCATTTCTTGGTTTCTTTTAGTATTATTATTTTTTTTCAATTTGACCATGTAGTCAGAAAAGATTCCAATTATTATTGGAACATTGATTCTCTAAGCTGGTAAAATTTGGAAATTAATTTACAGAAATTAATTGCCTATTGTGCATATTCAGCATAAAATATATTTAAGAAAATATTTTGCATAATAAATGTATATGTGCTTTTTATAAAAAACTTGATTTCTAATTGGAGACCTAAAAAAAGCCTAGTGTAATCATGGCGTTGTAATATGTTATTCCTTTGAAAACAGAACTCAATATTTGCTTAATTTTTTTAGCGTTAAACAAAGAATCTATAAATGAATGTGAATGGACGTAAAAACAATAATACATTTAAATTGCCAAACTAACATATAGAGTATGCAAATGTTTTGAAACTATTAAAAAATTCATAGAGAGCATGAGCATGAAATCAAAATATTTTTTATAAATTCATTTTCGGCATTTTTCTTTCGCCTATGCTTCCATTCAAATTAATACAAACTGAATCAAAATCAGAACAGAGAAAAAATACTTCATTGTTTGTATCTTTATCTCTCTTCAGGATGAAATTTTGTTCAATTTAATTCAAGGAAGATGTACTTCATTTAAACCTAAGTCCAACTGATGGCAAATAAGTTTAATAATCATTAAGACTTCCACTAGTCAATTAGTCCTCTCTTTTTCCATTTAGACCAAACGTAGGTTCATTTGCATTGTTTATAAAGGAACAAATATTTGTTTGTTTGTTTAAAGTTCCTTCGAGAATTTTACACTCATATTGAGACGCCACCACTTGCCGGTGGAGGTCTGTAAATTTAGGCCTTTACTCGGCACTTAGGGCCTTTGAGCAGTAAGGGATCTTTTTTTGTACCAGCACTTACTGCGATACGGAACCTCGGTTTATACGGTCTCACCCGAAGGAGAACAAATATATTTCATTGAAGATACAGATATTTAAATGCAAGATGATTTTGCTTTCTTGCTTATTTATTTGCTTTGATTTTTTTTTATTTTGTAAGGTCAAAAAAGAATAAGGATAAGAGGAAAATGACGAAATTTCAGCTTGATCTGGAGAGATCTATCAGGAAAGAGGCGGGAGAGGAGGATGACAGTGAGGTAGAGGAGGAAGAGGATGAAAACGACGAGGAAATGACTCCTCAAGCAGTCCACAAGGAGGCTGGGAATCTTACCTCAGAACAAGATGAAAAATACAAGTCCAAGCCCGAAAACAAAGAAAAGGGAGATGATGTTGAAAGCAGTGGAATTTATCAAAAGGCAAGCGAGAGCACTTATGGGACATCTAAATTCGATGAATCTGAGCTTAAGGAAAAGAAAAATATCGGGCAGACATCTGACAAAGGAAATGAAGCGGATCATATGTCAAAAAATCAATCAAGTGACGAGTCTGATGTTAGTGATGAAGAGGAAAAGGCAGATGATGTTAACCTGTCTGCAGACAACACTCGTAATTCAGAATCTCAATCTGAATTAGCAAATTAGATAGCAACAATGGAAGAAAAGATATTTGAAGTGAAATTTTCCTTGAATTATGCTATGAAGTGAACGTTACGCTGATCAAAAACAATGTTTTATAAATTAAAAAATTCTGCATTTTTTTTTAGTTTTACGAAATATATTCAAAATGTAGATAATTGTGGTTTATTTGGTGGCATATTTCTGCCCCTTGTGTGCAAGTTATTTTTCTATCAAATATGTCGACATGCAAGATAAATATGTTGACATGCAAGATAGTTATGTCAACATGCAACATAACTATGTTGACATGCAAGAAAATTGTAATCAAATAAAAATTATAAAAAATCTTCAAAAATCTCAAATATTGCCCACATGTTACATCCAACATGCTAGATGCTACTTATTTATGTCAACATGCATTTTATTTATGTTAACATGCGCGATAAATATGTTGATATGCAACTTATTTATATCTACATGCAACTTATTTATGTCGACATGCATCTTGGTTATGTTGACATGCGAGATAAATATGTTGACATGCAACATATTTATGTCGATATGCAACTTATTTATGTTTACATGCATTTTTCAGATACAGTTCTGCTATGACCTTAATCTTAGACCTTAAAACATAGTTCAAGGTCACTGCACACCCTTTAAAAGAGACCTCAGACGAACAGATGGACGGACACACTAATTACTATAGGTAGCCCACAGAGAAAGGCCCTAAAAACGTTTTATAATCTACGGTCACGTTCTTAATTGCCAGGACATTTTATCTAAGGAAATCCAATTTATGTTGTGTTGTCCACCTCATATTATAGAAAATAATTTAAACTGCAACATTTGCTTAAATAAATTTTCGATCATTAAAATCAACTTCAATTTTACCGACAGAAAAATAAAACAGAACCGTGCCTCATTGCACGTGTCTTGGGTAGTAACGAATCTGCACGCTCGCACAAATGTACAAATTTTGTATCACATAACTTCTTTTGCATTCAAATTTAATCATTTAATTCAAAATCTTATCATTTTGAATAATTGATCATATTCTAAAAAGTATATATCCAAAATGAAATCGCAAATCGATCATATTCACTGTAAACTCTTTTGGGATTCATGAGTCTTAAGACATTTACATCGATTTGTGATTTCAATTTTTGATATTTACTTTTTTACAATCATATATATATATATATATACATAAACAAATTTCATGTTGACATAACTAAGTTGCATGTTGACATAAATAAGTAGCATGTTAACATACGTAAGTTGCATGTTGACATAAATAACTTGCATGCCAACATTTTTATTTCGCATGTCAACATAAATAACTTGCATGTCGACATAAATAAGTAGCATCTAGCATATTGGAAGTCACATGTGGGCAATTTTTGAGATATCTTACAGATTTTTTATAATTCTTATTTGATTGCAATTTTCTTGCATGTCAACATAGTTATGTTCCATGTTGGCATAACTATCTTGCATGTCAACATATTTATCTTGCATGTCGACATATTTGACAGAAAAATAACTTGCACACAAGGGGCAGAAATATGCCACCATAGGTTTACACTGGAATTAAAAAAATACCGTTACATCATCGATTATTGAAATTGAAAAAAAAACCAATTGATCCAGTTCTGATTTACAGATAAGAAATAGATATTTCTCTTCAAAATAATGGGAAAAAACAATTAATGGAACGGTATAAATAAGGTTATCTGCCTCTAATATTAATCTTGAAATTTCATTGGTTGAGAAGAATACTGTATCAAACCATACCCCTCTAGGTTTCTATATAACTATTAATATGGGAAGTTTGAAAGGAAGATGGACAAACAAGGCGTGCAAAACCTATAGCTTCAAATGTATAAAAACTCAAAATTCTTATCAATTTAGTTCTTATCATTGAAACCCAATAATTTATGAAAAACAAGTTTTTTGCGGAAAAAAATTCTCTTGGTAAAAATTATTCTATGGGAAAAAAATGAGAATTTCTTGAGATTTAATACCCAAGCTATATTTAGTTTTTTGTTCTTCAAGACTGAAGAATATTTTTTAAGAGTGCTAACACACCATTTTACAACTCATTCTTGAATATCTGGACTTAGATATTTCAGAAAAATACTAATGTTGTGTCATAAAAGTGTTTTTAAAGATAGAGTAGGTCCTTGCTCCAGTTTTTGTTAAGCAAGTAATGTATATTTGAATATATAAAATGAATTATCCTTGGCATACTTATTGTATGCTAAAATATTTAATTTGTTATTAAAATCCAAGTCAGAATTGTTTGGTGTGTTTTTTTAGACTTATTTTTTTTTTTTAAAAATTGGGGTGTTTAAAGGTCGCAGATAGTGCGCACGGCCCAGGGTTTAAACGTCATAAGCTTTAAATAAGGTTTTCGAAATAAAATCTTTTCTTCACAAAACAACCCAAAACTTAAAAATTAAATGTGAGTCAAATAAAGCGATTGTCTTCATTTTCTAATATTTTTATACTACTTGTAGGACAGAAAGTGTGTGAAAAGCCACAATAAATATGTTTCAAAAATTGAAAGAAGCGACGTCGGCCATCCAAATGAATCGCGTCCAATCATGAAATTATTTTTGATATGGTTGAAACGAAGTCAGAGACAAACAACATGTAATTATTCAAAGAACCAAAAATTTTGGAATTTATTTAGTTCATTGAATTGAAATTAATAAATACTATTTTCAACGTTGTGTATAATTTGAGACACACTACAGAAAGTGAAAAACTACTGTTATTTGATGAAAAAAGGATATCCATACTCACAAAAACCCCTGTTCCTGCACTGCTAGGAGACAGGTTCTGTAGGTCGAAAGTTCAACCCCAGGTTGGGGCAGGAGTGAGAATCCTTATAAAGTGAATTTCTCTGTTTTCTATATTATTTCTTCACTTAGACTTTTCTACTTTATACACAACCATTCCCCACGATTAATTAAAGGCCAGGCTTTTTGACAGCTGCTTTATCAATAACAAGAGGCCCAAGGGCCTTAACGGTCACCTGAGTATAATACAACAATTTAGAAGTGAAATATACTGATAGATGAAGCTTTGTTGCCCTAAAGCAAGAGAAGTAGGAAGATCAGGGTCAACAAAATAATTAGTCTAGTATTCAGTATCAACTCATAAATTAAGTTCTAATCTGTCCCCCCACTTAACACTATCACCATGCAGACTATTAACAAACTATTAGTGCTTCTGTACTATTTTTAAACCCATATTAAAACCTCTAGCAGTGACCTCTCTTATGGTCTTTGAAGAACTTTTAATAAGGAAAGTTATTTTTGTCTCATTCTTATTTATCTATTACTTACAGGTCTACCTGATTATTAAAACTAAGAAAGTACTTTTTTAATTATACGATAAATATTCTTGCATAATTATCTTATTCTATTAACCTTTCAAATACATTATTTACAGTGATTAATTATCAAAGGTGAATGGAAAAGGGGAATAACTTCTCTCAGTAGAATACAAATTAATAGAGCCCTGCCCAGGACCAGAATGCTTAGACAAATGGTCCAGATGTTTAAAAATCTGGTAGAAATACGCTTACTCATATCATTTAAACTTTTACTCAGTTTGTTTCCGATATGCCCAGAAGCAGAGAAGAATTTCACAGGTACAATGCATTTTCACTACAGATTCAACAAAGCCTTACCCTAACACCAGAACCAAAGACCAAGGGTCAAGAAATTTACAAATTTGGAAGAGTTACCCTCATCATCATAACTATGGACTTCAAAGAATTAACACTTTTCCACTATATTATCAACCCCCCCCCCTCGTTATGCCAGAACCCCTGACCCTAGGACCACAAGATTTAAAAATTCTGTTTGAAGCTCCCATTTTCATCATAGCTAAGCAATTTATTTATCAACTCAACACTAACAGGACAGGATTAATTAATGATTAATTAATAGAATTAATGCTTTTTCACTATATAGAGCCCTCCCCCCTTCCTCAAGAACCCCAAAACTGAGGCCATATATTTAAAAATTTTGGAAGAGGCATCCTTGTCTATCATAATCATGCACTTAGTTTGTTTAAATAATCTCCAGTAGCAGAGAAGAAGATTTTCAAAGAATCAATGCATTTTCACTATATAATCAATAGAGCCCTGCCTTAACACCAGAACCCCTGACCCTGGGGCCATGAAATTCACAATTTTTAAAAAGGCATCCTTATGCATCATAACCATGCACTTAGTTTGTTTAAATAATACCCAGGAGCAGAGAAGAAGATTTTCAAAAAATTAAAGCATTTTCACTATATAATCAATAGAGCCCCGCCCTAACACCAGAACCCCTGAACCAGGGGCCATGGCTTTCACAATTCTGGAAGAGGCCCACCTCCTTCATAACTATGTACTTAGTTTATCACCTTAATGCCCAGGAGCAGAGAAGAAGATTTTCAAAGAATCAATGCATTTTCACTATATAGTCGATAGAGCCCCGCCCTAACACCAGAACCCCTGACCCTGGGGCCATGAAATTCACAATTTTGGAAGAGATACTCTTGCTCATCATAACTATGTACTTAGTTACTTTATTAAATATCCAGAAGCAGAGAAGAAGATTTTCAAAGAATTAATGCATTTTCACTATATAATCAATAGAGTCCCGCCCTAACACCAGAACCCCTGACCCTGGGGCCATGAAATTCACAATTTTGGAAGAGGCACTCTTGCTCTTCATAACTATGTACTTAGTTACTTTATTTAATACCCAGGAGCAGAGAAGAAGATTTTCAAAGAAATAATGCACTTTCACTATATGATCTATATAGCCCCGCCCTGGGGCCAGAACCTCTGACCCTGGGTCCATGAATTTCACAATTTTGGTAGAGGACTCAATGCTTATTACAATGATGCCAACAGTTTGACTGCTTGATGTCCAGGAGTAAAGAAGAAGATTTTTAAAGATTGCATTATTTTTGGTGGTTTTAGCCCCACCCCTCAGGCCCCAGGGGGGCAGGGACCATGAAATTCACAATTTTTGTTCCCCTTTGCTCATAGATGCTATATACCAAATTTGGTTGAAATTGGTTCAGCGGTTCTAGAGAAGAAGTTAAAAATGTTCAAAAG